ATTATTATTTAACTATTTTTACCCATATTTAGGTTTTTGATGTTATTTTATAATTTTTGACAATAAGGGGTAGTTTTCACCCCTAAAAAAAAGCGTACAACGGTACAGTATAGAAAATGAACTAGAGGGTGAAATAAGCCTAATCCCAAATTTTTGTACAAATCGGTGCTGGACAAAAAAATTGCGAGGTTTTACCATTTTTTTAGCTTCATTTCCTGGACTCATAAGCGAACAAAATCTCTGGATCTGGCTTACGAAGAGACCGATCGAAAATATTCCTGTAGTCGTCTCTGCTAACAGGCTAATCCCTGGTAACTAACAGGCTAATAGGTCAGTCTCTCGTGTCAACTGATTCGACTGGAACTCCGTGACGCATGTGCGGGACGCAAAGTTTGGTGTTCCTCGATACCCTAACCCTCAGCCGTTTGGTTCCCCCGCCGAGGGCTTCTATCTGGTTGGCATTTTATTTATTTACCTATTATTTATTTATGTCAGTATATTTAATGTATTTAAGTATATTATGTGTTTTATTCAGCCCAACCAGATGATAATACTCATTGAATACCCCAAAATAATAATAATAATGTCCTCCAGACCGAATTGCGGTCACGGCGGCCAGTCTCAACGGAGACAAGCCATCAGCGCAGGACAGGATTATAGAGCCCAAGTGTATGCGCAATCACAGGTGCACTCTCTATTTCCTCACTCTTATAGTTCGATGGGACAGTAATCCGACACGACTGAGAGCGATAGGCGCAGGACCAACAGCTTTTCGTGCTTCCCGAGGCACGGGCGTCAAACACCGTCAACTTCCTGACTCCCGGGCTGCTACTGAGAATTTTTTGACAGAAAAACCCAATATCTGAATTTGGCCCGACCCGGGATTCGAACCCGGGACCACATGATCAGCAATCGCGTTTGCGACCACTAGAGCAATATGGCAGTCGCTCATCCAATACTTTCTTTTTGTAGTGCCGATGTGAGAATATCCTCTAACCCATATTGTGGCGTGGATGTCGTAAGAGGAGACAGAGAGGCTCAGAAGGGCTAGAACCCAGAGCCGTAAAGAAAGTTAAAAAAAAGAAACAGACAGAGGGAAACTAACCAAGACTAGCGTCTTCTATATATATATATATATATATATATATATATATATATATATATATATATATATATATATATATACTATATACTATCTATATAATAACCACAAAAAATTAAAAACTGCGGTTGACAAACCGCCTGCCAAGCGTGGTAACTATGTTAAGTATCCCGCTTATGAGGCAGCCTTTGGGGTGGGCTATGTGCAGCAGTGGACTTTGATAGACTGTAATGATGATGATGGTGATGATGATCTAAAAACTAACAACAAGGTATATTTACTCAATTTGACACGTCAATACTCGTGTAATACGCTCATTGTAATTTTAATGTTGACGCTACGCTAGGCGCTACGGCGTGTTTACTCTCCCTCAGTTTACGGCAATACGGCTATTTCTGACGTAACATTGTAAGGAGTTTACGTGATGTCGTTACGTAACATTTTTAGGAAAATGTGAAATGTCGATGCAGGGAGGGGACCATTACCATACATAGATTATCGATTTTATATTAATAGGATATTGGGAAATGATTTCTTATATATACGCGATCACTACACATTTAAATAAAACTAGTATTATTTAAATGTTTAAATGTGTAGTGTATTTTATCGCGTATATTAACTTAATTTATATTCCCGACGTTTCGAGTACATTACAGCACCCATGGTCACCGAGGAGGGGGGGGGGGGGATTGAGGTGTTTGACGTCAAAATGTCATAGTTAACAACGGCTACCTCCAGATTAAAAATTATTATTAATTTTTAATCTGGAGGTAGCCGTGGTTAACTATGACATTTTGTTCCGATCTACGCAGTATGAATTCACAGTATCTTAAAGTCTTCTGTTGTATGCTTGGGTTGTCCCAAGCAGATGGTAACACCCAGCCATCTTCTCTATTGAAATTAGGATGTTTTTTGATTTCAATAGTCTCACGAATCATCCTTGGAAGGAATCGGTGTTCTTTAGCGAGGATTTGTGGTCTATCAAATCTAATGTAGTGAGTGATGTAGATATTGGGAAATGTGAAAAAGCAAGAATTTTCGGTTCTAGCCAAAATGTGATTTCTTCCTTGATTCCTTCATTTTTGAGAAGATTATGATTATGAATTATGATTGCAATTAGTCGTCCCCGCTGCTCCGGTATAGTGCGTGTTGGTTTTGCGGACTTCACATGTCTTCGAGTTATCAGACAGGCAGTAGTTATAATGTTTGTACCTCAGACATGCAGGTTTCTTCACAACGTGTTCTCCTTTACTACCGCGCACAGGGTATTTAAATCAGCTTTTAAAATTGCAATTAACAATTTCATCGGTGCAGGCGGGGATCGAACCTAGGTTTTTCACGTACTGCAGACGTTTGAAATTATTCATATGTACAAAATAAACAAGTACAGTATTTATCGATATAATAATATAATCTTGCATTTCTATGATACATCTCTAGTTTTGCGGCGTTTGCGGATTTAATTCAGTGATGCTATCTTAATGTAATTTACCTTATATTTGGGGTAAAATAAGGTTAATTTTGGTCGTATGTATAGAATTACGTTATTTACGATAATAAAGGTAAAAAATTAAAGTATGTAATTCTCGAGTCGAAAGGACATCATATACTATTATTACTTGTGATTGAAGCTAATACTAGAATTAACAATTACAGAACTAACCATTACCCACTTACGAGGATAACTAACTAATGTTACGAAACATTAAAAGATTACTGAAATATGGGGGTAGTTTTTATTTATTTATTTAATAAGGCTTACCAACTAAATACATATAGAAACAATTATTATGAGGTGCACTTAAAAAAATTGTATATATGCATTTAAATTAAAGGTAAACACAACATATAATAAAAGACTTCCTTTAAGGAGAACAGTAACCTATAAAACTATCACTACAATAAAATAACAAAATTAGAACAAACAAAAAAAAAAAAACCTAATATATATATTTTTACCGATAGTAAAATAATTATCCATCACATTTTGCAAAACATATCTCGCTAAAACAAGATATTCTCTATATATTGCTTGCTGAGGACTGGCTGAAGCTTTTTTTATTGTAAGTTATGTTCGCGCTTTTGCGTCCTATATCGTCTCTATATCGAATGCAGTCATCGAAAGACATTTTTCTTAATTTTCTATCGAAGCTTAGAATTAGCTTACTTTCGGTTCGGTAAGGCAACAGCTAAGTGTTTGATTTCTTGTACTCTAGACCGCGCCTTTGATCCCGCACGGAATAAGTAAATATAATACACGGAAGTATTTATATCATTTAAAAGTGTTTCGGGGTCTAGTTTTTACCCGTGTGTAGTTTTTGTTTGTGAAACGCCTTCACGATACAGTAGAAACCATAGTATGAGGGATTACATATTATTTAAAAAGAATAGTAAAAGAATTAATTTAGCTTTATCTGTTTAATGACTTTAGATTGAAAAAACAATATTAGAGAAATAAATTATTTACTTTTGTTATAAAAAGACGGTATTATGTAATAAAAATACTAAATAGTTGCGTTAAGCAGAAAGTTCCGAGTCTTATTAGGTGCTTTAAATGCAATCTAGTGTAGAATAAACGGGTGAAGTTAAGAAATGGGTAAAATTAAAAATATGATACTTGGCAACACCAGCAGCAAGTAATGGCATTGGCTTTGGCCTAAAGGTCTAGATGCCAGGCCATAAACTCCAAAAAAAAAAAATGGCATTGGCATTTGCATTTTGAAGGGATGGGCAAGAGCAAAATATATCGATATATATCGAATCTATATTTTTAAACAGTATCGATATAAATCGCGTGATAAATATCGATATATCGATATATCGTCATCATTTGGATGAAAGAAGAAGAAGAAGAAGAAAGACATTTATTCACTGGAACTGTACACATCACAACAATAAAAAATAACAAGTTAATAGTATGGTAGATTAAAATTACGAGAGTGTATAGCGCCAGTGCAAAGGTTATGACTCAGCGTAATGCTGCAGGGTAACCTACAGCGCTGATGATTCTGCCATAACCACAGAAACACGCACGATCCGCCTGGAAGTGTTTATGACATTCATTTCAATAATTATTTTATAAATTGAATTATTTCCTTGCTAATAAATATACCTACATATACATTTAGGGATATACACACATACATACATACAAGACATATTATACATAAATATATTCATATCATATTATATTCTATATAAAACTAAAAAGGTTTCAAAACATATATAAAAATAAACGTAACAATAAGCTTAGAAAATACACACTAAAAACAAACATATAATGCTCAACGATGCTGGAAGATGGCTCAAGGTTGAGCTTTTTGTGAGTGTAATAAATGATTTTTATAATGGGATTTAAAATTGTACTTTGAATTACACTCACGAATAGGTGGAGGAATGTCGTTCCAGCACCTTGTAGCTATATATTTAAAACATGATGATGATGTAAAGATAAGTTCCTTTGCTGACGGTTGGACGACGAAAACAACGATACAACATTTTAAATATAAATTCGATACTCTTAAATAAATATCGATATATCGATAAATCACGAAATAAAATACCGATGATATATATATATTTATAAAAAAATATCGATATTTCGATATATCGTTATTTTTTTCCCAAGCCTAGCATTTTGCATTTTGGTGATTGGATGGTGTCTTCTGTCAGTGTCACATTTCTTTGAGTGTTTCTATTTCTAGTTAGTTTGTGCATTTCTTATAAATATATAGGCATAGCGATTTTTAAGATTAGAATTAAATTTGAACTGTATATTTTGAAAACTATGAAGAATACTTTACAGAAAGTACTATACTTATTAAACTAATGATTCATTTTCATTCGTACGTTTAAGTCGTATAAGTTTATGTAGGTTATTTCAGTCTGTTACAAAATGACTTTATCTGAATTTGACGACTGTAACAATTATGCTTCAGTTCGAAACAATGCGAGCCATGAATATTCAGTACGACAAGCGTTTGAGGATGGTAAGAACTTTTTAATTTTATTATCATTTATTATAAAATCCGCCGGCACATATAAAATAGTAAAATTCTCTTTTCAATATATTTTAAAAATATATTATTTTCCTATATATTAATTTGCCTGTAGCTGTAAAAAACTTGAAATCACGTATACCTTGTAGTTTCTCGTTATAGTAGCTTAATTAAACTTGCTCTATTGTTACCAAATCAAAAATTGCGATTCACTCAACTTAAATCACTTCCACCAACTTTATATTGCACGATAATAAAAAAAGTACATGAATAGCAAGAGTAGATTTCAATTAATAGTTCTGACGTAGTTATAACATTATTTATTTCAATTATTATTAAAAAAAATAATTGAAAATAATTTAATTTGGAAGGTATGGATGTGAACAAGATATCTTTCGAAAAAGTCGACTTAGTTTAGTTTACGACGGGCTGTTTTCCACAATTCCACATCTGAGTGCGTATTTTGCGTGTAGGCAGGAATAATGTAATTATTTGAGCAATGAAATCTCCCCGAAGTTCAACAGTCTTTTGATGTTGCATGCTACTTCGGGTAGTGATCCCGGCATTCCGAGATGTTTAGCCCTGTATGTAGCGACCTCCAGAGATTTCAGCAACACATGGGCCAATACAAATCCCCCTTACATGCCCTGCACAGGGGACTATCTGTAACACCTATAGTAAATAAATGTTTGTTAAAGGTGCCATTTCCTGTGATAGCACTTGTTACTATCCTGATCTGCAGCTTGTTTAGTCTCATTAGAACTTTGGTTATACAACTGTTTTTTTCAGGCAGAGCCTCCCTAGCTTGTCTACAGTCTACCAAATTTTATCAAAGCTGAGTGTGTTGATTAGTGAAGTGTCTACGTACCAGTGAACAAATGTTACCAAAGGGGATTGGTTTCGGCCCTATAGTGGTCAAAGCCGATCCTCTTCTGGCCAGTTCATCTGTTGCATCATTGCCTCTAGATCCACTGTGTCCCTTTATCCATTGCAGAGTCACATTGTTGTTTTTACATACCTCATTTAATCGTTGATGGCATTCATATATTAGTCCCGAGTTCACCACATTGCAACTCAGAGCATGTAGTACAGCCCTACTGTCGGTCAGTATTCTGATGGAGAAATCATTGACCTTCCTAGCATCTATTGCTATGGCTGCTTGAATGATACCCATACATTCTGCCTGAAAGACTGTGTTATAGGTACCCAGTGGTGTGCATATGTGGATATTGAGGTCTTCAGAGAAAGTTCCAGATCCTACACCTTCATTTGTTTTAGAACCATTGGTGAAAACTATTAAGCTCTTTTAGGCTTAATCCTTCTGGCTAGCTGGTTTCATTTAATTGTATCTTGTACTTCTTATTGAATACAAATTGTTTAAGGATCTTATTGTACTTGGCCTTTAAGATAGGAATTTTTGAGTGAATTCTATAAATTATGCCTGTATGAGGGACACTATTCTTACTCCAAAGTTTTAAGGTCTTGAGTCTGATGGCAGCTAAAGTCGTTCCTTCTCGTATATGAAAATGAAGCGGGGTTAGCTCCAGCATCGCTTTTAAGGCTGCTGTTGGCGTATTCCTTATGTAGCCTGTGGCAGCCATACATGCCAATCTCTGGTAGCGCTGAAGCTTCTTTATAGTGGTGGCTTCATTTGTCTTGGTGCACTATACCAAAGCGCCATATGTGATCATGGGCCAAATTACAATTTTGAAGGCTTTTGAATTTCACTAGTGTAAACAGTTCCATTCATTAATGTTTATTTTATTAATTATTTGACAATTTTTTCAGTAACAAAATGAGTATCACTGGTGTCAAGCGGTTAAAAAAACTTTGTTAATTAAACAAACAATTTTTTGTAGATTTATATGAAATACGTGTTTTGGTAATTAATAAAAGTAAATTGATTATTCAAAACATTACATGAGCGTTTGAGGTGTGCACTTTTGGATTTTGCTAATTTTTTTTTGTCTCATAATGGTTTACATTTTGGAACTGCTGAAGTCATTCACATCAAATTAGGCGTTTATAATGTTAAAAACAAAAGAATTAGAGACACTGAAGATATGTTGGCTTTATTACCCTGCTATGTGATTAAAGTTTGTGATTTTGGTTTTAATTGTTGTACAGTAATGTTCTATGTGCACCCTAGTGGATTTTTAAGTGGAAATATGTAGTTTTTAAGAAATTATTTTTAATGTTTGGAGTTTTAAAAGTGAAACATTCACTACCTATATATAAAAAAAAAACAACCCGAAATATGATAGAACAAGATAGTCTGAAGTATGTTTTTATTATTTTACAATGTAGATATTATATTGTTAATGTTTAAAAAAGTCCCGCAAGGTTCCTTGCTGATTCTTCCCAGGACAGAGGTTTTTTTCTGAACCAGAGGTTAAACTTAAAACGACTTTCAATAAGAATTCTTGTTATCTATATTGCTTAAAAATTATTCTATTCTATTGATTCTGTTCTATTCTATGGTAACACTTGTCTGTTTTTAAAATTGTATTAGTCCTCAGCCCCCAGAAACGTCAGGAATATAAAATAAGTTAATATATGCGATATAATCACAGATTACCCCCTAAGGGTACTCCCCTTATATATTAGTAATCTGTGGATAGAATCCATAAAAACTAGCTTTATTTAAAATTGTTTTACCTGACTAAGTATAACATAATAGTAGACGGTGCATGCTCTGATTTCAAGCCTATCAACGCTGGTGTTCCACAAGGCTGCGTGCTATCACCAACGCTGTTTCTCCTGCATATCAATGATATGTTGCTAACTGGTAGCATTCATTGCTATGCAGACGACAGCACTGGGGATGCCTTATATACCGGCCGTGCCAATATTTCTCGGGAAAACGTCGCCGAGTACCGTGACAAACTTGTGTCTGAAGTCAAGTCTTTGCTTAACAAAGTCTCGGATTGGGGCCGACTAAATCTAGTCCAGTTCAATCCCCAGAAGACACAAGTTTGCGCGTTTACCGCTAAAAAGAACCCCTTTGTCGTATCTCCTCAGTTTCAAGGCACTCCCCTTGCTGCCTCAGCCAGTATTGGAATCCTTGGCGTCGACATATCGAATAGCGTGCAGTTTCGATCGGCTCGATACACTGGCACTGCGTAGAGATGTTGCATCTCTGTGCGTATTTTATCGCATCTATCACGGGGAGTGCTCTGAGGAATTGTTCGGACTAATTCCAGCCGCACAATTTCACCATCGCACGTCGCGACAAAGCTCGCGTTACCATCCATACCATCTGGATGATTGGCGGTCCACCACTGTGTGATTTAGAAGAAGTTTTCTCCCTCGCACAACTTCTTTGTGGAATCAATTACCACCAGCGAATTTTCCGAACCGATACGACTTAGGAACCTTCAAGAAAAGAGCTTACACCTTTCTAAAAGGCCGGCAACGCATCTGCAATTCCCCTGGTGTTGCGGATGTTCATGGGCGGCGGTAGTCACTTACCATCAGGTGAGCCGCACTCTTGTTTGCTCCCTATTCTATATAAAAAAATAACATATACACAAGAATTATAATTATTCTACAGAAAAAAAAGTCATCCTATGTTGGCTTTCAATTGTGGTTTTCAAATGTTTTATGTAATTATGTTACATTATTTCCACTTATATTATATATTTATATTTAAGAGTAGTTTTACTGAAGTCTATGATATGAAAAAAGCCACTGACATTTAATGTTATCACAAGAACACTCTTCTATGTGCCATATAACACAAAACCAATACCACTCAAGTGTGATCATAGAACTGTAATTGATGGATAAGATAATGAGATAATGGTTCTAAGATCTTCTCTCAAATTAATGTGGATTTCGTATTATTGGCAATAAAAATTAAATTTTTAATATAAGTAAAATCTGACTTCGAGAACTAAAAAGTATCAAATAATTTACACAACTCATCTCAACAGCTTCTTAAATCAGATTCATTCATTCAGATCAGAGCAAATCGGCAAATTAAATTACTGCTAAAATAAAAGGGGTAATCTTTTTATTTCTTTACTATACTACAATACAACATTAAGTTTACAGCTGTATGTCTATTATTTTAAGAATTATTGTTGTTTGAACATAGCATATGCGCAAACACAAAAGGCCTTTGTTAAGTGACATCTGGCACGGCCTGCTCTCGAATTGAATGCTGTGATGCATTCCATTCAAAAGCAGGCCGGAAATACAGCAAACTATTAGCGTAAATGAGATGGAACATATTGGTCCTCTACATCGAAAAAAGTCACACATTTCATTTCATTACTACAGCTATACTATATTACTGGTAGAGTTATAGCACGAATGGGTCGGCTCGACCGGGGAAGGACCACGCTCTCACAGAATACCAGCGTAAAATAGCAGCTTAATGCTGCTTTGTTTCGTATGGTGAGTATAGAGAACCGGAGACCCTTTTTAGCTTTTTACAGGAAAAGTGCCATTCTATTCAATCTTAGTCCTCACGGGTGACAACGCATCTGCATTTTGATTTGTAATCGAGGAAAGATGTAGATATCTATGAGCCACAGAAACCACATCTCATCAAGTGGACTGTGTGCTCGTTTGCCACCCTTATTCTAAATAAAAGGAACAGTTTGACAGTTGATTAGTTAAGTTAGTTGTGCCCGTTGAACTTACGTTAGTACATAATATCTCAATGGTTGTCCCTCGCCTACTACTTGCTACGTTCATTTATTGTCTGTGTTGTTTACGTGCTTACTGTTTATCGTTAAGAGTGTGATACAAATATCGATAATCGTCAATATTTAGCGCAATATACCGCCGCCATACACTTCGTGTATGGCTTTTGCAATGGAAGTGCGGATCGAGGTGTACATTGTACAAGAATATCGACGAAGGTAACAGGTCTACACCGAGTCGCCAGACTTTCGTCGACGTGCGCTCGAGATTAGCGGAAAGGGGCAATCAAAGGGCAGTTAATGAACGCGCTCCTTTGATATCGCCTGAAGATGAAGAAG